AGTATTGCTGGCTGACTCTGCCCACAACCAAGAGTTTGATCCTGACCGACTCCAGGTTGACTTAACCTTCCATTCTTCCAAGGACAGTCAAATGAGGAGCCAGATTGTTGGGGGCAAGAGGCTGACTCTGTAAACCGCTTAGAGAGGGCTGTGAAGTACTGTGAAGTGGTATATAAGTCTAAGTGCTATATCAACTGCAGTGATTCACTTAACAATGGTGGCAAGAAAGGTCATGAAGTGGGTCAAAGCTCACTTAACAAGAGAAATGTTGGGCTGTCATACGTTGAGGACTACCTTTATATCAAATATTTACCTCAAATGCACCATTCTGTAGAATGTTTTGCACCTCAGAGATTCGTGTTCACTTTCTCACTCCCTTTAAACAAAAGCCCAACAACCTGGTGTAATGACTTGTGCCTACATTATTTCAATTTGGAAACATCTGTTTTACTTAATGGTGTTTTTTCCCTTGTAGATGCTGGTTGAACCGGCGTCAGATCGACGGCTCTTTGAACCGAACACCGAGTGGATTCTATGACAGGGTCTGGCAAATTTTGGAGAGGACACCCAACGGGTTAATAGTAGCTGGGAATTTCTTGCCACAGGTAAAGCTACATCTGTGGGATTCAGACCATGTTTTCCCTTTGCAACCTTTTCCATTTCTAGGAGTTGTAATTTCACTTTCTTGCTAACTGTGCTTGAGGGAGTTATTTTAAGGAAAGGCTGACCGGCCATCTGCCTTGGTGAGAAAGCTGAATTTGTAGCACACAGTGGTAAGGGTTGGGTGCCAAGCCTAACCAGCAATAAAAGTCTATTACCTTTGATGTTGCTTAGTGCCACTAATGAAATTCACTTTAGATTTTCCGTCTTCCTTTATTCCTGCAGCAACCGACTTTGTCTGACATGACAATGTATGAAATGAACTTTTCTCTCCTGGTTGAGGACATGTTGAGAAGCATAGATCAACCAGAGTTCAGGCAAATGATTGTAGAGGTTGGTATCATACAGTGCTAAGTAAATGAAATGATTTATCTGCTCATTCCTTTAAAAAGAAAAAAGAACTATTTGAGCAGTAAACGAATTTCAAGTGAGGGCCATTTTTCCCCTCCCAGAGCCTCTGCATGGATTCTGTACTTACCTGCATTGAAAATGGGCCACGTGGAGACTTCTGGGAGGGTTGGGTGGGGCCATCCGGTTGCTTCAAATACCGGTTCAGTGAACCAGATGCCAATGTAACATCCGGTTCACCCGAACCAGTAGAATCCCATCCCTGATGTTCTTAGAACTATCCTTGATATCGTATATTTATAGTTGTTGTACCCTGAATGTACCAGTGTCAGAAGAGGAACCCACCTGTATGGATCATTGTTCACTAGTTAGAGATTCACGTGGATGAGATTCTGAACTGAACCTTTGAACAGGCATTCGTGTGAAGGAGTTTTTCATAAGCCCACTCTTAGCCCAAAGACTGGCTGAACCTGGCAGATATGGCAGACAAAGAATTAAAACACCTCCCTTGTTTTACACAGTGTATTAGCCCCATTGCAATCTTCTAAGAATGCTTTCACATTACATTTTGAGAAATATTATTTATTGCAGCCATCCCTAGGATTTAAAACGTTTACCATCTGAATGGGCCAGCAAAACATAAGAACTACCATAGTAGTAGGAGTTGTAGTATACATCTTCTCAATTTGCTGCAGGGCGTCTCTGAAATTTTCTTCTTCTCTCCCTCCACCCCATTCCAGTTGTTGATGGTTGTTTCTGTGATTCTGGAAAGGAATCCCGAATTAGAGTTTCAGGATAAAGTGGACTTGGACAAACTGGTGAAAGAATCGTTTAATCAGTTCCAGAAAGATCAGAATCAATTCAAAGGCACTGAAAAACAAGTCAGTATCATCCTTATTCCCAAGTTTGTGCTCTGCATGACCTCCCACTGTCTCACTTTGTCTTTCTGGTTGATGCAAACGAAAATGTTGCTTTGATTGTGAAGCCTTCCATGTTTTCTTCTAGCGAATGGAAAAAGTTAGCTAAAATTCTAAACAACATCACTTATTTACCTAATTGCTCATGGGAATTTGGCTTTTCTGTCTTGCTGTACAAGGAGCTCAAAAGTTAAAAATGGCTGCTCCCTATTGAGAACACGAGGGAAGAAATATTTTGTTCCTTGTTATCGATTATAGATCTCTGTGCAGCCCCGGTCACTGAATTATTCTCCCCATTCCTTTTTTTTTTGTGGAGAATTCATTCCAGAAAGCAACTTTTGGCATTTTAATGCGCGTGCGCGCACACACACACGCACACACACACGAAGGCAACCATTGCCAAACGGCCATAGACCTCCCTGGTTTAAGAATCTCATCTGGACCCTACCTCTCCCCCGGCCCAAACCTTCCAAAGAACAAATTTGTGTTGCCACAAAAAATCCCTTTCCAGTTGTCCAAAGCCATCTAAAGGCAACCTAAAGGCAACTAAAGTCTTAGCTGCAAATGCCCTTGATGGACAATCGCTCATAAATGTATCACCCTGTGTGACAGCTGTCAAATTGCACAGCTTGAAAGTCGGCTCATCCCACTGTTGTCTTCCTGTAGAGCAGTATCCTAAAACGATGGGAGCTTTCTCACACTCTTTCGTGCGAAATGGATCTGCAACATTTGAGTGTGTACCCTCTATACATTGGAGAAAATCTATGATGGGGCTGTGTAGTCCATGGGTCCACGTTTAAAACATGTATCCCAAAGTTCCTTGACGTTGGTGCTAGATGACATGAGCCCTTGGTGTCTTGCAAAACTGGGTTTTCCAATTCTTCATGCCCACTTTCCACCTTTCCTGATGTTGTTTGTTCACCCTGCTTGTTGTCATCTTCCACCTCTGTTCATCAGCTCCTTCCTTCCTTCCTCCCTTTCTTTCCTCTGCTCCAAGGTTCCTCCCCCGCCTCCTCTTCTCCAGCTTAGAAGAGCTCTTCCCTACCACCGGCACTTCAGAAAGCCAAGGATGCTTCAGCCCGCCCAGGGGGAGGGTGTGTTGTCATTGGAAGCAGGTGCAGCCACAATAGCATTTGCCCTTGCAGTGGGACAATAGCTCTGCACCAAACACAAATTGCAATTGACAAGCTCTCCCCAACACCAGGGACAGAGTGACTCACTGGTGGCCTAGAGGATGATGAATTGCTGCCTTGCCAGGGTAAAGCTGTTCTTTACAGCAACATAAAATCTCTGACTCATTGTGTTTGGGACCATCATTTCCCTTGAATTCAACACAGATCTTTCCAAAAATGCCTGCAGGTATTTTTTTGTTTCTGTTTCTGTTCTGTGATGGTTGTTCTTGTTATACACATCTTCCTTCCTGTGTTTCTCATGGCGCCCCAATATTCCCCCTCCCACCCCATCCTCTTTGGTCGAAATCCAAAATATTCTTTAAAAAAAAATTTAAGATAGAGAATGTGGAGGGCTTGCTTTGTCCTGTCAATCACCCATCCCATCTGCATGTTTCTCTTTTTTTATATGAATGGCAAACTGTCTGGGTCAATTTGTTTACATAGTACTATTTATTATGTTCCTAATTTCTACCTTTTTTATCCAGCCATTGGTAAAATAGGTCCCAAGTTTGAAAATATTCTGTGTCTTCTTTTATTTTCAGCTTTCATCTGTCTATTTCTGCACAGTTCAATATTTTTTAAATTATATCTTCTTCTGTAAGTGCTTGCTCACTTTCCCAATGTTGTGCAAATACAATTCTTGCTGCTGTTAAGACAGGCAATATCAAATAGACATTCACTTGATCATATTTTTCTGGCATTATACCTAACAAAAATAATTCTGGGTTAGAATCTTAACATTTTTTTCTAACCAAATATGCACTTTCATCCATTTTTTTTTTTTTTGCTTTTGGGCATGTCCACCACAGGTGATAATATGTGCCCAGTTTTGGATCACATTTCCAACATTTGGCAGACCTATTTTTAAAACATTTTTTGCTAGCCTTGCTGGTGGTAGGCGCCATCTGCATGATTCTTCTCGTTATTACCTAAGCCTGAACTTCTCCATCAACAGTTGTGACTCTGTCTGTTTGTGCAGGACGACATGACTTCCTTTTACAACACCCCACCACTGGGGAAAAGAGGGACGTGCAGCTATTTGACAAAAGCTGTGATGAATTTATTGCTGGAAGGCGAAGTGAAGCCTACCGCAGAAGACCCTTGTTCCATTAGCTAAAGCAGCTGGAGCAGAAGATGGTGGGAGCCAGGTGAATGCCATGAGTCTCTAGCTCTTGGCATGTGAAGCTTCATTTCTCATCATTGTTTGGACACTGTGATGCATAGTCATTAGGAAGAGCTCCATTGCTTGGAGCAACAATCTGTCCAGTTGGTTTCATGTAACAAAAAAAAGCATATTTAATTAAGGGACATATTCCCCTTACAGCTCCTAGGTGGCAGTCAATGATATCCATCTTGCCATCATGGCTATTTGTTGGCTGAGTAAATGCCTGATACTCTCCATATGTACGCTGCTTGAGAATGACAGCTATTTAGAAGCAATAACTAAGCTCCCGTCTAGAGTTTAAGCCTCGCTTAAGGTGAATTGCAGCTTTATATTTATTCATCCAATCATGAATTAATGTAACTTTAATCATCCCCCACACACACACACATGCTTCCTTCCTTTGTCCTGGTGTTAGTTACTGACAAGCTTCCTTACGGAAATTGAATACGGTAAAGACGTCAGTTTTTTTAAAAAAAATAAGCGATCCATCATTGTGAAGCTGGAGGATTTCTGGACTCTGAAGAAATAAGGCTTATCTTTGGATTTGAGGACATCGATAAAGCTTAAACGTAAAATTAAAACTCTGCATTAAATACTCTTTTGGATTTGCCTGTAATGGGTTTCTGCGTTCTTGAGTTGAAAATTGGAAGCAAATGAGTATTTTTTTAAAAAAAAGAAAATCTTGATTTGTCCTTCAACCTAGCATAGAAGCCGCCCGGAGTCAACTTGTAGTATAGGTGAGCAGGATAGAAAGAGAGAGAGAGAGAGAAAGGGAGAGAGAGAGGGAGAGGGAGGGAGGGAGAGAGAGAGAGAGAAAGGGAGAGATGCTTTAGGAGACATCATGCATAATATCCTAGATTGAAAGCAGATTCCATCTCAAAGGGGGAAGGAATCCATGTTCAAACATGTGATTTCTACTCACATTGACAGAGTAGCACAATGGAAAAGAATTTAGTTCCCTCCATATAAATAAATAAAACACATTGGTTCAATGGGAAAAGTCTCAGGTTCTAATCTTCTTCAGCATAGGCCCTCCTCACCATCTATCACCTATTATTTGAGATGGCTAGGAATTTTAGGAGTGCAAGAATTGGAGAGCTAGAGATTATCCAAGTCTAGGTTCTGTGTACAGTTTTCATAAATTAGACCTTCACATGGTGGATAATTAAACTCCAGAATTTAAAATGAAAAAAACAAAACAAAACCAGATTAGAATCATTCCTGGAGAATCTGCTGCCTTCAGATTGGCCATTATGGGATAAAATACTGGGCTAAATAGACCTTTAATCAGAATCAAGATGGCTCTTACGCTCCTAAGGTATCGACTTAAGGGCATCCAATCTGGGCAACTTTTAAGATTCATGGACTTCAACTCCCAGAATTCCACAGCCAGCCATGAAGTTCACAGGTCTTAAAAGTTGCCAAGATTGGACACCTATATATACTGTATATAGATGGTTTGCCATCTTGGCCAGCGTGGTCAATATCCATTTCATTGAAGTCTCCAAGAGGAATACCTCAAGGCACAGCTTCTCTTCATCTCCCATTCTTTCCAGAAACCTCCTCCAAGGAAGTTGGAGGTTCAACATGCAAGGAAGCAACAGCCAATCGCCAACCATCAATATACAAACCAACCAATAGGAAGGCACCACATAAATATGATGCATAGAATAGCCCAAAGCACATATCCCAATAGAAGGACGTTCTCTGAGGATGAACTCCACCACAAATCTGAAAGCTCAGAAGACTAAATCTCTGGTCCTGGTGATGGATCCAGATTGGATCTTGCACCATTATCCCAGGACACCTTTGCCTTTATTCACACAACCTTTTGTTCACAAGCCAGATTCTCTATTTCCAAGGTGCGGGTCTTCCCTCAGAATCCCATTTATAGCCTAACTTAACCCAGTTGAAGAATTCTTGCCGTTGTTGATTTTGTCTCTGTAAGGGAAGGATTCCTACTCATTGTAGTCCGAACAGCAAAAAAAAAAAAAAAAAACCCAAACCAGCAAGGTTGTGACTACCTCATCTGCAATTTCTGTGCACCAAGCTAATTATTCCCAAAGTAGATCTTTGGAGGGAGGATTTTCAGCGAAGGAAGCTAGTTAGAGCGGGCTGGCACTTTGCTGTTTTATGCGTTCAAAGAGCGACGCCTGCTCTCATCTCCTCAGTGAGGAGGAAAAAAGAATTGTGAACCCAAATCCGCTCTTGATCAAATCCTCTGTGTATTTTTTCCATCAGGGCTGAGCCATGCACCTGACTTTGATCCCAAATATAAAGTTCAGGATTCATAAGGCAGAGGTAGCTTTGGCTTTCTCTAATCTCAAGAACATTCTAGAAAGATGATCAGGCTATATTGAAAAGGAAAAGCACGCTGAAAATGAAGAAAGTAGTGGGAAGAAGAAAAAAAATTTTTTTTAAAAGAACAATAAAACACAATTTATATTTGGGCATCATGTATTTAGCAGTGTGGCTGGCAGTAGAAGTTCTCTGACCAAGCACTAAAGGTTTGATCTGTGCGATTAAGATTGCATTTACTTCTTCAATGTTTAATTCGATCGCTTAACAATGGTCTACAGTAATGTCCACCTGGCTTTTGTAAAAGTGGTATTTGATCTTATAAATGGCTTTGACTCCAAAGTCCTTATCGATAACTGAAATTGATAAGCAAGCTAAACTGCTCCATTGATGGTTGCAGAATGAAATGAAAAATGGTTGCAGGAATTGGGTATGGCCAGTTTAATGAAAAGAAGGACTAAGGGTGACACGATAGCAGTGCTCCAATATTTGAGGGGCTGCCACAAAGAAGAGGGAAATCAAGCTATTCTCCAAAACACCTGAAGGCAGGACAAGAAGCAATGGCAGGATGGAAGCTAATCAAGGAGAGAAGCAACCTAGAATCCAAGGAGAAATTTCCTGACAGAACAATTAATTAATAGAACGATTTGCCTCCAGAAGTTGCCAATGTTCCAACACTGGAGATTTTAAAGAAAAGATTGGACAACCACTTGTCTGAAGTAAAATAGGTTTCCTGCTTGAGCAGGGGGTTGGACTAGAAGATCTCCAGGGTCCCTTCCAACCCTGTTATTGACTTTCAGTTTCTTGTGCCATGTTGGCTGGTTGGCGTGGCTCATTTGTTCTCCCTTCAATTACCTTGTTCATTAAAATAATTTTCAGATCTGTTAGGCGTATCCAAAAATAATTTTGGATTGTAGAATGCTTGGAGTGTGGCTATTAAGACAAATAATAAGTTGTCTGAGGTTTTTTTTTTTTCCGTTTCCAGATAATTAAAAAGCTGCAGGAATGATGCTATAAAAATTAACAGGACATGGCCATTTGCTAAACAAAACATGAGAACACTAAGATCTTAACTTCCCAGCCGTGAAATCTGTAGATTTCTATATCATGCACACACCATTTGTTCATTGAACGTAGCAGTCAAAAAAGCATTTTAAAAAAAGAAAGATTTTCAACAGCTTATAAGGATCTGAGGCATGGAAATTAAGAGAGAGAGAGAAAGAGAGAGAGAGGGAGGGAGGGAGAAAGGGAGAGAGAGAGAAAAAAACCCTCTATTTACCAAAGGACCACCGTGTTTTAAAAACTCAAATTTCAAATATGACAAGAAGGGGGACTTTATAACATAGTTTCTCCCAATTGTATAGACTGCGTTGCTGCATAGTTTGATCCAATGCCAGACAATTCTGATTTCCTCTAAATATTTTGGACGGTAAGAATTCTGGGAGTTGAAGTCCACAAGACTTAAAAATTGCCCAAGTTGGAGGATTCAGAAGTGCACGGAGAACGACTAGACAACAAAAGCTGGAGAACAGGATTCTTGGCAGCTCGAGTCTCACCAGGCTCACGGTTGACTCAGCCATTCATCCTTCCGAGGTGGGTAAAATGAGGAGCCAGGTTTTTTTGGGGGGGAGGGGGCAATATGCTAGCTCTGTAAACCGCTTAGAGAGGGCTGTAAAGTGCTGTAAAGCGGTATATAAGTCTAAGCTATTGCTATCCAGTGATTTTTCACCATTAAGGACGTTAATGTGCACGTCTCCACCAGTGAAGTTCAGCTTTGTCAGCACTAGAATTAGCTCTCCCCTATTCCGAGAGGGTGTGTAGAGGGAAGGGCTTTAATCTTTTTTGATACTTGTGCAACACAGGCAGAAAAGTGGCTTTTACAGAAGGGCAGCTTGTGGAGGCAGCTCCTTACCTCCATGACAAATGAAGGATGTACCGGCGTTGGCTGAAGTTCTCGCGGGCTGAATCGCTGACCCAGACGCTCCAGTGATCTCGATTACGGCCATCTATTTCTTCCAGCTTTTTTGTACGATTGCCTCGTCGGCATATTTTTGCCCATTTCAAACTAAGGAAGCCTATGAAGTGGGATTTTAAATGGGATCTGTATATGCATACAGCCCAGAATTGTTCATCTATCCCACAAATCTGCCTCCTTTTTCTTTGGTGGTGTAAATCAGGGGTGTCACACTCAATTTCAATTGAGGGCCGCATCAGTGTTGTGTTTCAGCTTGGATGCCCGGGTGAGCGTGGCCAGGATGACTCGTGTTGGGGGCTCCTGTGCTCTGCCAGCAAAAAACAGGCTCCCGAGCTCCGTTTTCAGCCACCAAGGCCTCCTGCAACCCTTTGCCTGCGAAAACAGAACTCCTCCCAAGCTCCGTTTCCACTGGCAAGAGGCACCGTGGGCCAGTCCTTCACTGTTTCCAAGGTGGCCCCATGGGCCAGATCAAAGCAGCCCCTGGGCCTTGAGTTTGACACCCCTGGTGTAAATTGTTAAGGGTGGGCTGTTCTTGGTTTCTTTTTCTCCCCATTCAAAAGTCAATTTCACTTTTGCTACATGTAGGTCTCAAATGGCCACCCTGTTTCGTGTGAAGCCACGGAGCTATGTTAAAGCCAACTCATCCCTGGTCCGGGAGCATTTTGCCAAAAGTGTGAGAACTCCATAGTGTTAGGAGAATCCTACTTTTATTTCTACATTTGTTTATTTGGAATGGGACTTAAGAGTGGTACACGGACACATTTTCATGATTCTCATCCAAATGTTCTCCATCTGCCCTCAGCAATTCATGTTCTTCCCAACATGCTGCCCTAGCCAAGTTGAATGGTAGATGCTTGCAGGATTCCATTACTGTAACCTTGCAATAAAGGTAGCGCTGGTGGACGTGGTTCTACTTCTTGTCTAGACTCTCTTGTAGGGCTGACATCAATCTTGCCCATTGGAAAGCAGCACTCCTTTACTTTGACTTTCGAGAAGATCAGTTATTGTCCTCTGTCTGGTTATTGAATTAGGATCAAAACACTCAGGTTCATGGATGCTTATAAAGTTACCCTGGGCCAGTTTATTACCTCGACTCGATCTCCATCTAGGTGGTGGTCATGAATTAAATTGAAGGAGGAAGTTGTGCTATTTTTGCACCTTGATGTTCTGGAGGAAAAACAGGAAATAAATA